AACGATGTGAACGCCACAGTGGATGGAACAAAGAATGACCTTGCCAAATTGAAGAGAACTACAACAACGGTGAAGATTTCAATGTTTAAGCTAAATAGATTTTGGAAACGTCTTTGGAAAATGACCATATTTAACTCAAATGATGTTTAAAAGTCATTTCAGAGGTGCTGTTTCCAACCAAAATTTACTCCTTGCGTCCACCACGCCATCTACTATTGCCTAAATGTCTCAACCAAATTTAGGGAAATTTAGAAATCCCAATCAAAGATTAGAGCCTTAAAACAGGGTGGGGGGCTTCGAATGTACATGCATTTCTGCATGGTGGAGCAAGCAATTAAGAAAACAGAAAAATTAATTATCTCTTGCCTTTACCGCTGAAACACTTCAATACGTCCCTGAACCAGGTGAACTTTAAGTTGAGAAGAACAAGCAATGATCTCTCAGAACTCTATGGCATTATGATAAAGGTAACAGTTTACGCGGCTTTTGCAATATGTGATACAATATCAAGGCAAGATTAGTGTCTTAGAAGTAGTGGATCAGAGATAAAATTTACGTGAATTTTGTTTCGGCTCCACAAGAGCGAACAAGGTTTAGAGCATGCTATTAAACTCTGTTAACCTGTTCACAGCTGGAAAATTACAACTCATCCTTTAACGAGGTGAAGTCCAACTTGGAAAGATCAAGAATTGATCTATCACAGCTCAGCAGCACCGTGATTGAGGTAAAACTGAATTCATATATCTATGAAGACTTCGTATACCAGACAAGTTCACTCTAGGCACGTTTCTGTTCAAAAGGTATTTTGATACAGTCATAAAGGAAAAGTCATTACCTGAATCTTGACTGAGTTCATGTTAAATTGCACGCGAAAACCGATATCGCAAGAATCGCGAAGAAATTTAGCGCGGAATTATCGATTCAGGTAAGTGGATTTTCCTTGAATCGCATAATTGAATAAAAATACGAAAAAAAGAAAACAGAAATTATGCTGTTTGTTTTTATCCTGAGCGCGAAACAAGAATTGCGAAACAGTACAACTTAGCCTCGTTTTCGACTTGTTTCTCAACTTGCAATTCATTGCCTAATACCTTGCTTCGTTAGCCAATCAAAGTGCGAACCAGAATAAGAATTCAACTGTGCGATTCTCTCCTAAACTTGGGAATCTTTACTTGTCCCTTTTGCCAGGTACAATCTACATTAAACAGTACAAGCAATGATCTGTCGGACCTGAAAAGTTCTGTGACGAAGGTAAACATTTGTGCGACGAAAAAACTGCACGCATTATGCTAAACAAGTATCGTGATTCTTACTGCTGATCCAACATTTTGCGCTCACGATCTCTTTAGTCGTAATTTCTTCTGGAAAGTTCATTTTTTCTTGAAATACAATCTTTTAATACAGCTCTTCTTTCTTTAACCAGGTGCAGTCTAGGTCAGATAGAACCAGCGATGATGTCTCGGTACTAAACTGCACAGTTAATAGGGTAAATATCGTCAAATTGTTAGTAAGAACATCAGTGACGAAAATTTTCTGAAGACAACTGGCAACGTAAGTTAGGGTTACTGCGTGATGAGTGTTCGGTAATTTTGTACCACGTGGCGCGAGGTAGCCAATAGAGTCGCGCGAAAATTAACAGGTGGGTTATGATGTTTAATATGAATAAAAGTAAAAATATAATGATTATGCTGGCGATCCTATAATATTTTTTATTCCTCAGCTCAACAAAGCCATTCAACGTAATTTAAACGAGTCGTGCCAGAATGTTACCTGGAACTCAGCGAGTGAGGAATGCAAATTTAATTGTTGCTGTGCAGCCAATTCTTGCGAAGAAACACGTAAATGTTCTCGAAATTGGTCTCGAATGTGATTACGTCAAGGAGTGTGCATGTACAGCGATGCTCAAAAAAGTTTTTGCTTTTCTAGCAAGATGAGTAGCTATAGTATGGACCGGTCAGGGGAGGGGGGATGGGAGGGTTTTTATTGTAATGTGATGAAATTTATTTGAGTCCCCTTGGGGTAAAGTCTGTACTCGAGCCTATCTGGCCACCCAGCCGGAGCCTATACTGGTTTCCTTGTTGCATGTAGTGACTAGGGGTATTAGTACCCCCCCCTAGATGGTTACCCCCCCAGCATTTCATCAGGCGTCCTTGTCAATTCGCTATTACCCAACTATACTCCGGGGAGGAGGGGGACAGTACCCATTTATATTCCTGGGTGGAGGGGGACAGTGCCCATTTATACTCATGGGTGGAGAGAGGCACTTGAAGTGTTTTTCCCAAGAAATCAACACAATGACCCGACCAGGTCTCGAACCCAGACCACTCAATCCAGAGTTCAGCGCACTAACCATTAGGCCACTGCGTCCTGGACCAATGCAACTCCCCCCCCTTTAGGTTCTGTAATTTTAAATGATCCTACCCCCGTCCCCATCATTGGCAGTCAATTTCCTATAGTCCTCCCTCATACTCTGTTGGCGATGACTAATCTCCCCTCATTTCCCCCTGGAAACAATGAGATCCTCCCCAAAACAAAATCTTCCACCGCCTTCCCTCCTCTCCCTCACCAAAAAGGGATAAATAATGCCAGGTGCCTTGCTTGTTGATACTTTTATCGTTTTTTTGGCTTTTCCTATATATATGTTTCATATTGGGTTTGAGGACAAAAACCTTTTGGAGAGTTAAACTCGTTTCTTTTTATTACGATGGTGTATCATCGTTCAGTGTTCTCACGATTTAGTCACTTTCGATATAGATCGCAAATTTTTCGCCGCCAGTCTTTTTCAGGTCTGTCCGGCAATTGGGAGGGAAAGTGAACGCGCTAATTTCTTTTCTCTGATTTTCTTTTCAAAATTCAAGCCCCAGACGTTGAAAGTTGTAAAGAACTGTACAACAGAAATGGGTACGTTTTTCCATCCATTAGACCACGTTCTACAATAAATTGCTAACTAGAGAATCCGGCTGTTTTGCTAATATCCCAAGTTGCCATGAGCGCGACTTTCGTTGGAGTCATAAAACTCCTAATCAAAGCATTCCATCCACCCCTTTATTAAGAAATGATTATATTCGTTTAATGTCATTTTCCACATTTTTCAGATCTGACGCCAACAAAGCTTACCCTTTGAGGCTGGGGAAAAAGATCCTTCCAGTTTACTGTCACATGACAGCTCTTGATGGATGTGGGGGTGGTGGCTGGACTCTGGTAATGAAGATGGATGGTTCCAAGGTAAACCTAAAACGATGTTGATAAAAATGCCCAAATGGGTAGTTTTGTCACTTCTTTTAATCAATAAAATGGTTTACAAAAGAATTTGTTTAGATGTGTTCATTCGAACTCGACCAAGCCGAAACTCATTAAAAAGTGAGTGGAGAGGATTTAAATCAATCGAGATCACGTGTTCTATTCCCGTCAAGCATAAACAAAACCTTGTTCGGTAGCCTCTTGATGATTCGAAACTCCATTAGAAATTAGAGAGGCTCCAGTAATGGAAAGTCGGATACATACTAATTGGAGTTAAGGTTAACGTGCACCTTCACGTGCAAGCGATGTAGCGCGTCCGGTTTAAACTGTCGATATCTAATCCCCTATATCAAATTAAAGCTTATAGGACTGACTATCAGACTATGCCAAAAATTTTGAAAAAAAATTAATTGTCGAATTTTTCACGACTTCTAAATGCGAGCGCCCGAATCCCCGTTTAAGAGCTACAAGTCAAAGGGAATTTGTTCGATTGCTCTCAAATTTTGACAGTAGCTAGTTTAAGATATACACAACAAAAAGGTGTCTTCGAATTTTTTATTTCTAAATACTTTTTTTTCAAGAGAAATTTTTGTACGATCACTCCACATTTTTTAATCCTATTTTAAAAATGTTCTGTAACTTTTCACTGAAATTGAATATGGCAAATCGCAGACACGTTTTTTAGCGCTTTGGCCCCGGAAACGGAGGAACACATTAAATAAGCGAAAAACAA